CTCCTTGAGGTTGATTTCGTGGTCGTACTCAGTGTGGTTCGGAAGTCGTGCAGCAGTGGCTTTGTCGAAGACGGGGAGGAGATCGTGTAGGTAGGATGGTACCATCTGTGGTAGCATTTTTTCTGTCTTGCCTTGGGCGTTCGAGGCTGCAAGTTCGGTGGATGTTGTGACTCACCTAATGTTGTGGTGGATCTTCCAGATCATGCCATTGTGGAGTCGTTTGTAGCTGGACGAGAGTTCGGGGAGTCGCTCCTTGAGCGGAACATCCCTTACTGCCAAGGATTCCTGTTTCTCGTACTTGGTGATCATCGGTGTTCCTGATAAGTAGGAAATGATGAACTCATCGTCGTCGATGTCCTCTGCTTGTTCTTCGATGGACGCAATACCCGTTGACCCAAACCCATCCTCCCCGTGTTCTGTTTCGTCGATGCAGTCGGTTAGCGTTACTGGTGGGGTGCTTATCCTTTCAAGGATGAGTTGGGCAACTCGGTCGCCAGTTTTGATGGTGAACGGGAGCTCGGAGTTGTTGACCAGCAGGACTGAGACCTTGCCTCGGTAATCGGAGTTGATTACTCCTGCAGCGACATCAATTTCCTTTAGTGCTAGGCCGGATCAAGGTGCGATTCTTCCGTAGTGTCCTTCGGGGATAGCCATGATAAGATCGGTGCTGACCAGGCCTCGTCGTCGGGCAGGGATGGTAAGTTGATGCGCAGCAGAGATGTCATATCCTGCTGCGCCACTAGTCTTTCGTTTGGGAAGGGTTGCGTGCTCCGAGGTGGAGATGACAACGAATTCGTCCTCCGTTGGTTCTGGGAGTGGGGTAGTTACGGCCTTCTTCAGTTCTAGCCGAGCCACTCGCCTTTGGTACAGGTCCATCTTCCAGGCCCTGGTCTCGTCTTTCGTCCACCGGTGGTTTAGCTCAACTCGTCCGGTTTTCCAGTCTATCTTGGGGTTTTTGAGCTTGAGCCAGGTATGGCCAAAGATGATGTCTTCCTTGCCGATGCTGGCGATGTAGGCTTTGACAAATTGGGGTTCTCCGCTTATCTTGTAAGATAAGAGAGCTCTTCGCGTAATAAGTGCTTCTTTGTTCGGAGTTCCATCCACGTTGAAGATGGGGATGGGTCGGGGAAGAGGTTCTGTCCGAAGTCGATGTTCTCGGACAAATCTCGGGCTAATGAAGATTCCAGTTGCGCCGCTATCGATGAAAGCGCGCGCCTCGACGTCTTTTCATCCCACAGTAATCAGAATGTGCAGAGCGCGTTCATTTTGGACTACTAGAATTACACAGGACAGTGAAACAGATACGGGCAGTGGTTGCGTCAGCTCACCCTGCCCCTTCAAAAATCCTCCATTGTAAGTTCTTCGTACAGCTCCTGCTTCTCGTCAGCAGAGAGTGTCTTGATTCTGGCGCGGAAGTCGTCCTTCCCAGATCCTCCCTGGTTCGGCCTCCCACCCCCTTGTCGTGCGGCTGCTTTCTTGCAGCAATCCTTGGCGCTGTGACCCTTGATGTGGCAGTAGAAGCACAGGTTCCCGTCCCTGTGGAGCTTCCGATCAGCCTCGTTGAGAACGGCTCCTAGTTCCCATTTCCTTCCTCCCGACGTGGAGGCGAAGGTTGATGCGACGGCAGCGGTGTCGATATCCATTGGTTCGCCATAGTCCCTGGTGTCTGTGACAATGAGAGCCCCCTGCTTGGCTGTGTTGGTGTTTCGAACTTCGTCGTACCAGGCTTTCATGATGTTGGGTCGATCCCTAGTGACCCTTGTTGCGAGAGCAAAATACAGCTCCTTCGGGAGTCCTTTGACGAAGTTGGCGTGGAGAGTGTGGTAGTCGTTCTCAATGCGGTTGGTGCCATTGACCTCGGCATCCTTGAGCTGAGCCTTTGATGCCAGCTGCTCGAAGTGGGTGACGTAGTTACCAAGGGAGAGTGCCGTCTTCCTATCCCTCTGTCGTTCAGGCAGTTTCATCATGATTTGATGTGCCTTGATTCGCATTCCGTGCTCAGGGAATGCTTCTTCTAGAGCGGCAACGAAGTCTGCCCAAGTGGAATAGACCTGGACTCCCCCTGCTGACTTTTCGTAATACGCGTCCGCCCATGTCTTCCCCAGATCCTTCCTCATCAGCGCTACAGTGAAGGCAATCTTTGCTTCATCGCTGAGTCAGGTGTTGTTGGTGGTGACGAAGTAGGAGAGGACACATTGGATGAAGCATCTGAGGTCCTCTGCCTTCCCGCTGAAGGGTTCGGGAGCGGGGATGTCGAGGCGAAGGGGTCGGTTGGCCATTGACTGCTGCGATTGGTATGCTGCGAGGGCGACAGCGATGCGCTGATCAATGTCTTCTTGAGTGAATGTTGCCATAGGGACTTCAACCGGTGCGTTGGTTGGTGCGGGTGGGGCTGGTGGTAGTTCGATGTCTGGGATCTCGATGGGGATGTACTGAACTTCAGGGAGTTCGAGTGGTTGTTCGTTGATGGGTGACTGCACGCTTTCTGCTGTTTGTGTAGGTTCGACGTCGATCCGTAGGATGGTGAATACGTCTTCTGGGTGAGCAGGTGGGTGTCTCTGGTAGTAGCTAACGAGTTCTTGATGGGCAATGACCTGCGGGTTTGGACCGGTTGCATGGCACCAGGTGCCGCCTCAAGGGTAGATGGGAGTCCTTTTCGTGGAGGTGACAAAGCAGCGGTCTGCTCGGTCGTACTGGAGGAGAGGTGATACTGCGAGGGCTGGTAGTCCCAAAGGAACCGGGTTGACTGCGTTGTTTGACGTAATGGTGGATGATATGTTTGACTAGGTAAAACTAGGAACATAGCTTAGAAAGTTCGACCTTTTGATACAACGGTCTACACTCCTATATTGATGCCTGACTCATAGATGACGAGCGAGGGCTTATGGACAGTGCGTCGTCCTGAAGATTGAGCGAGGAAGTTGAGAATGACCACTACCCCAAGCGAAGAGGAGCAGAGACTTGAATGAATAACTAGGTTGAACTTAGGGTTCGACCGACTAATGGTACAACTATTTATACAAGTACCAGCTATGCACGGACCACTGTATCTGTGTGGTCATGTTAGTAAAGAAGGAAACGTAGTGGTACGATACCAGGCACAAAGTGCGCACGGACCCCATTATGTAAGCTACATAATGTTCAACCTGCGGGTGAGCGCTAAGATGGGCACCAGTATGGGCGCTAGTAGTACAAGAAATAGAACAGAAAGATAAATGTTTCACTATCATTCATAAAACGACAACCCTTGCTGTGAACACCTCAAACCTAGGCATATACCTCATGAGCACCCTTGCGCTGCTGGTCATGTGGTAGCCTCGCAGCTAGCTGGTCAACAGATTATCACAAACAAAAAATATGAGACATGTAATTATCTTAAATAGCAGACCATAAGTACATGAAGGCAGATGGAGAGATGTTTTCTAGAGCACCGAGAAGAAGACCTCTTGCTCAACATCCCAGCACGACACGTCCGAGGTACAGGATACACATTGCTTGCCTCTATTTGTGCACATGCGTGATATGCCGGGTGATGGGAACACAGCAATCGGCCATTGATACCGACCTTACCGTAAGACAGTGCGCTGGAAAGCAGACGTGGATATCCGGAGCCGGTGTAGGTTGAAGGAATTGTCTCTGCTCTCAGGAGACTACGTCCCAGACCCTCAAGCGAAGACGACAATGCACGCACGTGACCGTGCGAATGTTTGCAGAACTAGGCTTGCAGTTTCAGACATCACCCAAAAAAGAAATTATTTGAGCTGAGGCATCGCTCGGGGACATGGGGATAAGCTAGACGACAAGACAGGGCCTCCAGGATGGGGGTCGTCGCTCAAGGTCTGGGACGTACAGCAGTGACCCCGATGTGTTCAGATAGTGCGACGCGATGACTGTTTTGGTAGATTATCGCGTTGCAGATAAGATCTGATTATTATGTAACTGCTTAAAATCTTGATGCTTACCAAGGCGGGTACTCTGAGTCTGACGCGTTCGGCCAGTCGAGTGTGCGCGTCAACCCGTTCCTCCATTGCTCATACGACCGCCATTCAGTTGTGCTGGTCCCTCAGGGTTGGCCAACCTCTACAAGGTACTTTCCTACTTACCGAGCTCTTCAGTATCTATTCTAACACTAGACGTGTAGCACCTGCAAAGCTTGAGCTCGCGCATGAACGTCTTCGGGAGCCTGAAATCTGCCAGCCTTTCCACCTCACGAACATGTAGTCGCCGACTTTTTCCGTTTTCTGAGCCGGGGCCGTCGAGTCAAGTCGTGCGGGTAGTCTCTCGCGCGCCGCAGTCGTCCACACAGTCCCGACGTTCGTTCTATTCATCCCTCGTCACCGACCACCAGGCAACGCTACCATTGCGCTACCCAAGGTGGGTGAACCCTAAACACCATGGCCCACGAGCAGTCGAGCGTAATGGACAGGCGAACTCGGTTGAGCCTGCGCAAGCGCAGACTGCCCGCTTAGATGGTGCACAAGACGACCAGGCTCCCCCGTCCGAGTCTGCCCCTCCTGCCTCGTCATCGTCATCGTCGTCCTCAGGCGATGATCCCTCTGACGGAGCAAGCTCCCCACCGCCACCGCCCCCGGATCCTCCAACTCCTCCGCAAACATCCATATCTAAGCAGTCGGTGCCAGAGGTATACCCCCAGGTTCTTGCGCTGCCGATCGCGCGGCGTCCTCTATTTCCCGGTTTTTACAAGGCTGTCGTGGTACGGAATCCTGCTGTTGTTGCTGCCATTAAGGAGATGATGCGCCGAGGCCAACCGTACCTAGGTGCGTTCCTTCTGAAGGACGAGCACACGGACAGCGACGTGATAAGCGACATAAACTCGGTGCACCCCGTCGGCGTCTTCGCCCAGATTACGAGCGTGTTTACGGCAGGCGGTAAGGAGGACGACAAGGAAGAGGGACTGACGGCGGTGCTGTACCCGCATCGGCGAATCAGAATTACGGAGTTGGTCAAGGGCGGAGGTGCAAAGGTCGAGGACTCCGAGGAGTCTCTTCCTACTCCCCCTCCAGAGCCTATGAGTCCAGGTATCACAGGTCGTGTCGTTTTTTCGAGTTCAAACTGACATTCGCTATAAAGCGCCCCTCCAGACGTCCTTCCTGCAGAACTATGCGGTATCCGTCGTCAATGTTGACAACCTGGTTACGCAGCCCTACAACAAGGATGACCAGTACATTCGCGCGTTTATGTCGGAAATCGTCTCTGTATTCAAGGACATCGCCCAGCTCAATCCGCTATTCCGTGACCAAATTACCAATTTCTCGATCAACCAGGTAGCGTCAAACGTGTTTGACGAGCCAGACAAGCTCGCAGACTTTGCCGCCGCAGTGTCCACGGGTGACGTGAACGAGCTGCAAGATGTGCTGGAGAGCCTGGTCGTGGACGACCGCTTGCGCAAGGCGTTGCTGGTCCTCAAGAAGGAGCTCATAAACGCACAACTGCAGAGCAAATTGGCACGCGATGTGGACAGCAAGATTGCGAAGCGCCAACGCGAATACTACCTTATGGAGCAGCTCAAGGGCATCAAGAAAGAACTGGGCATGGAGTCTGACGGGAAGGACAAGCTGATCGAGAAGTTCAAGGAGCGCGCCGCCGCCCTGATGATGCCTGAGCCTGTTCGCAAGGTGTTCGACGAGGAGCTGAACAAGCTGATGCACCTCGAGCCCTCTGCGTCTGAGGCCAACGTAACTCGGAACTACCTCGAGTGGCTTACGCAGATCCCCTGGGGCCAGCATTCGCAAGAGAACTACTCCATCGCGCACGCGCAGCAGGTGCTGGACGAGGACCACTATGGGCTGAAGGACGTCAAGGACCGCATCCTGGAGTTCCTTGCGGTCGGCAAGCTGCGCGGCACGGTTGAGGGCAAGATCATCTGCCTTGCGGGTCCGCCGGGAGTGGGCAAGACGTCGATCGGCAAGTCGATCGCGCGCGCACTGGATAGGCAGTTCTTCCGCTTCTCGGTTGGTGGTTTGACGGATGTTGCTGAGATCAAGGGTCACCGACGGACTTATGTTGGGTAGGCCTGGGATGTGTGGACTTGTATTTGGCCTAGCTAACTGAGATGCGACATAGCGCGCTACCGGGCAAGATCATCCAGGCTCTGAAGAGAGTTGGCACGGAGAATCCCTTAGTGCTCATTGATGAAGTCGACAAGATTGGACGGGGTATCAATGGTGATCCTGCGAGCGCCTTACTGGAGATGCTTGATCCCGAGCAGAACACGGCGTTCTTGGACCACTAGTGAGTATTGGTTCTTTCATTGGGTAGATGCAAGTGGCTGAGCTGCCTACTAGCATGGATGTTCCAGTTGACCTCTCGCGGGTTCTCTTCGTTTGCACGGCTAACGTTCTCGACACGATCCCGGCACCTCTACTGGACCGTATGGAGATACTTGAAGTCAGCGGATATGTTTCGGAAGAGAAGGCTGTCATCGCCGATAAATACCTCGGCCCTCAGGCGAAAGAGGCGTCTGGACTCAAGGATGCTGACGTCCAGCTTGATCCCGCTGCTGTCGATACGCTCATCAAGTACTACTGCCGAGAGAGTGGTGTACGGAATTTGAAGAAGCACATCGAGAAGGTGTGTGATAGATTGTGTGCTATCACTAGACTTTGATACTTAAATCTTGGTCAGATTTACCGCAAGGCGGCGCTCAAGCTCATTCAGGACCTGGGCGAGGACGCCTTCCCTGAAGTTGCCGTTTCTCAACAGGCTAAGGATGAAGACAAGACGGTCGAGAAGCAGGACGCTCCCCAAAGTACCCCTTCTGCTCCCGAGACGGCAGTCCCAAAGCAAGAGCAGGCAGAGGAGCCGAGCGAGCGGAAGGTCACAACTGAGCAGCGTAAGCCGCTCAAGGTACCTGATACAGTGCACGTCCGCATCACGCCTGAGAACTTGAAGGAGTACGTCGGGCCCCCAGTCTACTACAAGGACAGGATGTATGTCAAGACGCCGCCTCCCGGTGTGAGCACCGGGCTGGGCTATCTGGGTAATGGCTCTGGCGCTGTTATGCCAATCGAGGCGACGGTGAGCAGCCATGTGCCAGAAGGAATTCTCTCGTGGCTGATGGTTGCTCGTACAGACAATGCCTGGCAAAGGTGGTTTGCAGCTGACCGGAAAGCTGGGAGAGGTGATCAGGGAGAGTGCTCAGATCGGGATGAGCTGGGTGAAGAGCCATGCTTATGATCTAGGCATCACGTCGACGCCGGATGAACAGTTCCTAGTGGACCGGGATATTCACTTACATATGCCCGAAGGGAGCATCGGAAAGGAGGGCCCCAGCGCAGGTACTGCCATCCTGACGGCGCTCGTCTCGCTGTTTACCAAAACACGAGTCAACCCAGATATTGGTGAGCTCTTTGCGGCCGTTCTTGACGTTCGCATACTCACATGCTTGCTAGCTATGACTGGTGAGATCTCGCTTGTGGGCCAGGTGCTCCCAGTCGGTGGGCTGAAGGAGAAGATTCTGGCCGCGCACCGCGCCGGAATTAAGACGATCATCGCACCTGAGGCTAACCGCCCGGACATCGAGGAGAACGTACCCGAGAGCGTGAAGACAGGCATCCGTTTTGTGTACGTGGAGGACGTGCGCGAGGTACTACACGAGGTGTTCCGCGGGGAGCCAGTGACGGAGCGGTGGAAGGACACGCTGTCGCTGTCCGAGTCATGATCCTCGGTCGGACTATTCGTATGTTCTGTTTGCTGTGTCGGTAATCGTTAGCATCTCCTTACAGTATAGAGCACGTTGGTCACAAGCAACATACTATGTATATTAGTCCCATCTGCAATCCAGCTCATGTATCGACAACTATAGCAATCATTGCTCGGACATGCATAATACATTAGATACCTGACCCGGCCGCGCTGTCCGGCTGAAAGTCGATGCTGGCAACACTCACATCTAGCGCTCAGGCAATCCATAGTATACCATCAAATATTGTCTACCAAACTGCAACTCTACATAAATTAGCATGCGGGAAAGGTGTTGAGTGTGTGATGAATCGTGAAGGTCGTGACATCCAGCATCATAAGCTAGTGTTATGATTCCGCTACGAGGAAGCCAACGAGACATGAGTCCAGCATGTATTCCAGGTTGACCCACGCATGTGTCAGCGCTGCAAGCTCCGATCAGTCGCGCGTCAAACATAGGGAGGCGAATGTGGTAATTGAACTGACCGAATAGTTTGCTTCCGTCACGGCCTGCAACGCGTATGAGCTCCTTCTCACCTCCTGGATGATATGGCAGGTAGTGCGTGATGTTGTACACCTTGCCATTGAATGCTGACCAAGCATCGTCTCGCTTGTTATGTTGCTTGAGCATGGATGGCGTCACGCGCAGCAATGATTCGACGCCCTGTGCAGTACGTTCAGGATGAATGGGGGGAGGCGGACGCAGATATAGAACGCACTCTCAGATCCTGACCGGATTTCTTCAAGTTTGCCCAGTCCAAAGGGCCATGTCCCGGAGCCAGCGCCACCTTCCCCCTTCCGGACGGCTTTGGGGGGATTCTTGACGTCGTGAGCGGAACAGCCAGGGAGCCAGGAGTGCTTGATATCCCCGGCCGCCGGCTCGAGAGCGAAGGCGGGGGTGGCGGAGGCATGAGCTGTGCATCGGTGAGTATGCGCGGGATCGTGTTTGACGGGGGAGCGAGGCGCTGTGCACTGTTGGCAGCAGGGAAGGAGGGCGGAATGTCGTCTGTGGTGTCGCCGCCGTGTATTGTCTCGGTGTCGGAGTCGTCATTGTCAACGCTATCACTTTGGCTGGGGCTCTCGATGATGGGGGATACGCTGAGCGTGGGTGCGGGCTGGGGAGAGGCGAACCAACTTCGAAGATAGCCCGCCATTGGTATTAGAAATCTAAAGTATGGCTGCAGTGGCTGATGAAGCTGAAGGGTGCGGCCAAGCGCCCGGTCGCAGCCACCAGGCGCATCTCCACGTGATACTGTACGCAGCTTGGACTTCGCGCCACGTTTCTGGCCACATTCTAATGTCATGGCTTTACGTTCAAGCGGCCGTGGTCACTAGTGCATAAATACCGTGGACCACACCTTGAGTACCTACTTTCATCTTCAACTCTCGTTCCTTGCTTTATCTCTTGACCCTCGAGTCATCTGTGTCCTCTGCAAGACGCCTTATTACTAACGCCACTCAGCATACCAACTGGTGTATCTCCCGAATGACTGGCTTCATACGGGATTTGATTCAACAACATGCTCCTCCGGAGCGCAGCGAGTCTTCACAGCCCTTAGGTGATGAAATCATAGGAATTTCCCTTGATGGCCGATCTACACTGCTCGCCAGTGGCTCCTGGGAATCTGGCTTTCTCCCGCTCATATTCCGTCCTCGCCTTCATGTCACGAAGAAGAATATATCGACCGTTCTATGCCGACTTTCCCGCGCGCGTACACCTCAAATATACCTCCGTCAATTAACCATTGACTTTCGTGGCCACATGCCGGTCCTCGGGAAGAACTCAGAGCTGAGGCGAATTGTCTCGCTACTGCCCAATGTGACCAGTCTCGAGCTTCAAGGGCTGATCATCACATCGTCTACAATCGAGGCGCTCTCAGTGCTGGCGCCACATGTCCACGAGCTCGTCATAGGTTGCCTTCTAGCCGCTACACCTGACATCTTCAAGCGCTTCATCTGCGCCTTCTCTGCCCTTCGCTCGTTGGAAATCACAGATATGCTGTATGTCAACCCGAAAGGCGAGAAATTCCCACGGACGCAGTTTAGAGATTTCTGGTTGGGCTACGGATCCCCTCCAGGTCGATCCTACTGCATCAATCCAGAGGAGTGGTGGTATTTTAAGGCGTGCAATGAATGGACACTCGGGCCTCCTTTTCGCACTGTCAACTATAGTGTCGAAGCAATGAAGCTGGTAATGCGCCGACGGTAGAACGTTTCCTCGTGCATGGCTATGGATTCTGTTTGGCGTCCAGTCAGTCTTTTGTCTTTCCCTTGCCCAGTATGCTGAAGAAATACCTTGGTTATGAAGCAGGAATCGACAACGTGGCAACGAACAATTTCCGGTGGATAGAAAGAACGGATGACCCGCAGTGCTTCCTCTGGACGCTGGCCTTTATCGTGAATATCTTAACCCCAAAACTCTGCGAGCTGCACTTCCGATTGCTTTCCCCAGGTCTGTCCCACCTGGTTGAGCACTTCCTCCTCCATCTTGCGGAGAAGCTTGAGAGGCCTGCATTCCAGCATGTACGGATGTTCACCTTCGATGTCGGCTTCACGGAACTACACCCTGACACTCATGTGGACTTCGGGTTCATCCAGCGCTGCTTGCCCACATTCGCTGAACGAGACATGCTGGTGCTCAAGGCGTGTGCTGGTCTTGTCGAGCCGGATCCTGACGTTCGCGCCGTCGACTATGTCCGTCGCCGCCTACTCGCGCTCAATGCAGGTCATCTAAAGATCGATTTCAATGATATACTGGCATTCGTTATCCCGGGTCCCGATGAGATTGACAGAGAGGAGTTGATTCGGATAGAGTTGGCAATTGGTAGACTCGTGCCGGCACAATCGTGTTCTGTTAATTCCCTTTTAATGCCAGTAGTACCAGTAGTAGATGATAGTAATGCTTTTTGAGAGCGAGATGTTGCTACTTACGAAAAGTCAAATTCAGGGTTCCCAATTGATTCCGGATCAATTTTGGACCATTACACGTACTTGTGCTAGCGCTCGCGTGCTTTGAATCTGGTCGCCAAACTCAGATGGACTCGCCATGTCCTCCCACAAACGAAGGATCTCCGACTTGCTGGAAGATGAATCATTCGACAGGCAGAGTAGACAGCGTGTCGACGGACAGTCTTACTGCACTTTACGATACCACGCAGATACAGAGTCGGTCCTCCACGTGCACTTCCGCCAGCCCGTGCCTCTCATAACATTCTCCTACACTCCTTCTCGCGAACTGGTATTCACGAACTCGGCTCTACGGTATTACGTCGACCCTCCGATCGGTGCGGACTTGAAGTATGGCTACGAGCGATGGGTGAAACGACCGGAGGAAAAGGGTAGGATCGACGGATTGCTCAAGGCGATCTCGCGAGCCCGCACAATGGCACCGCTAGATTCCGCCGAACAATGGTCTATAGAGAACACGGACGTAGTGTCGTGGAGGGGGGTTATGACGAAGTGAGTCGCATCTTATACTACGTGCCGTTTGTTCGCCATCAACTTAGCGAGGGAGAATATTAACAGCACCATATGCTGGTCCAGGTGACCGTTGGGAATTGAATGTGATGGATGTGGATGGTACCTTGTACTTTGAGGAGCATCTGACAGATGCTGCTCTTGTCGAAAAGTAGGTGCTCAACCGGTGTGCCAGGCTAGGGCGGCTTCTAATAGCATCGAACCTGTAGAGAAGACATGACGCCGCACCATAGATTGCAGTCGTACTACGGCTACTCCTTCGAGTCATGGTGCACGTCTTCAAAGCCGAGCACCCAGGAAACACTCGGAGGCCACCCACCAGGCTGGGGAGGTGATGTCGATACGAATGTGCAATGGTGCGGGGTTGTGAAGTCGTCGCTAGGCGACCATTCTATGATCATTGGAGGCGAAGTCGACTGCGTTCGGGGTCGGGTCACTCTACCGACTCGATGTATTCGGTGCTGACCATGCATGCAGGAAAATATAACGGTGATACAAGGTCCCTCGTGGAGCTGAAGACGTCGCTTACGATCCGCAATGCGAATGACCAGGGTCGATTTGAGAAGTACGCAGGTCCAATCTGCTTGGGACCTGTTGCGAACTAACTATGAGCGTAGGAAATTCTTGAAGTTTTACTTCCAGTCATTCCTCCTAGGCGTTCCGGTGCGCTTTCACTGTTGCCCTCATTTCAGAGGTCTAGACACAGTATGACAGGAAATCATCGTGGGCTTCCGCACACCTTCCGGCGAGTTACGGTCCCTTCAGTCGTTTCAGACAATGAACATACCGAGCCTGGCCATCGGCAAGAACAACGCCTGGGATCCACGTGTGTGTCTGGACTGGGGCCATCGTTTCATGTCCGCCCTGAAGGACGTTGTGCGCCAAGCCGTGCACAATGACACTGATTCGTCGGAAGCCTCGCGGATTAAGGTTTGGCGCGCCGCGTTTGGAACGGGCTCGGGGGTCAACGTCTCGTTGCTCGATGATGCCGGCGTCCGCGAGGTCGAGGCAGGAGAAGATAGGGTGGGCTTTCTGCCTAGATGGTATTGGGACGAACTCCGTCGAGAGCCTCGTGCGACACGTCCACAGGATACAGGAGGGTCATCGCAAGGGCGCGCGCCCCGAAGGGTACCTGCGGGATGGAAGATTTGAGGCTTAATCCATCATGGTATGTCTCAACGTTCTGACCCTGTCACCATGTTCAGCGAGCAGCAGACGATACAGTGCACTCAATCGAGCATAGACTATGGTATAGCGGTATAGTAATGGATCTTTGGAAAGGATGAATCTGCGCAGTAAAAGGTTCGCGTTGTACAAGGGTAATTCCATAATACAAAGCGTAAGCGTGTCGCTAAAATACAGACAAGGGCATGAAGTAGGTATGTTCTCGTACTGACACTCTTCGGCTACGTGATGAGGTTTAATATAGGTCATAACCCATTATTCAGTGGGGTGTATGTACGACAGCAAGGTCTCACTTACCTTCGTTCATGGATCAAATCTCAAGATTGTCACCACTAAGGCATCCCGCTCCACCTCTTTCTCTTACAAACACCACAGCCTCCCGATTGTCTACTCGTCCCCGAAAGAGGCTGTGGGATGCTTTACGCAGAATTTCTCTGAAACCACGCGATTGCGGGCGCCCTCGTGGGGTCTGTGTACTGTTTGTGAGCTTCTGCATCTCTTTGTCAAGTTTTTCCATCTTCTTCTGCATCTCGGCGAACGCTGTCCTGAGGTCCTCCATCTCCTCTCTGTGAGCGGCATCCTTGCGGGCCGCCGTCTCGCTCATCTCGACCTGCAGCTCCTGTAACTCCTGTTTGTGCTGCTCTGTCTGTCTCTCCAACTCAGTCTTCAGCTCTGTCCCCGCGTCCGTGTGTGGAAGCAGCTTGCGGAGATCGACGAGCTCGTATTGCATGTGGAGCACCTTGGGAGCATATTCAAAAAATGGAGACATGGTATCCAGGGCTGACTGCGGCGTGTTGAGGAGGCGCTGCATACGCGCGCCGTGGTCGACGGCGTCCTTGAAGAATAGTGGCTTGCTCCTGAGTTCGGTCTCCCTCTGCGCCCCGACCTCCTCCGCCACGTCCTCCCACATTGTAGTCACGATAACGACGTTCTTCATGGCACCTTCGCCGCAAATCTTCGAGAACAAACGAAAATTCTCGCGGGCAATGCCGCCTACGCGGTAGTCGGATATGCGATGCATGTAGATGACGCCAGATAGCTTCCTGCCCCTTTCGTACCTGTGTTTGTCCAGCATGAGTTTCCTTCTCAGCGTATGCGCGCTCCGTCGCTCAGATGATACGTACGTCTGTTCTAGAAAATCGGCTATGTCCTTCAGGATGTCTGCTTGCGATTTGTATGTATCATCGAACCCGGGGGTGTCAATCAAGGTGATGTTTTCCCCATTGATATTGCAATATGCCGTTTGCACCTTGTCGGTACACGACTGAAGGCTGGTCCCCACCCGAAGATGGGAACCGCATACCGCGTTGATGAACTGAAGAGCCGCGCGTCATTAAAGCGGTTAGCATATTTCTATTCTTTCCGATCACTGTCAGCGGCTCACCGTCGTCTTACCCGCTCCTGTGGGCCCCGTCACGCTGCGAGGACAAATAAATGAGATCCTACATCAGTGCATGTAATGCAACCGCTGAACGTACGCTATGAGCTTCGCTTTGCCATCGGTCTTGCTTTCGCGAGCCATGAATGATGGGCGTCGTAGACGATGTTTGGATGTCGAACTTCGCGTCTCGTTTCTTACCCTGTCTTAACCTCTATGGCCTTCAGGACTATGTGCTCCGTCAAGACACACGGATGCTATCGTTATCATGCCTTGCTAACAAGGCGTGCTGATGAACTATCCATCGCCTCATGACGGAAGTTTGCGTTTGCCCCATGGCGGTGGTGAGACTGGCTCATCATGTTCTGATAACTGTCTATATTACTGCTAGTTGCAGAATGATGAGTAAAACGTGTTGTTTTTTTCGCAGGGCCCAATATTCATCTCATTGCCTGTTCTACAGTCAAAATAGGGGTGCTCGGATAATCGGTATAAAGCTTCCGCGTACACGTAAGTAAGCTGCGCCGAGCGCGTTGTCTACAGAATTCCACGGCCATGTCCGTGGATCGCCGATCGTTGACCCGTCCGTGTAACATCAGTCCTGCACAAGTCAACGTGCCTGTTAGTACTACTCTTTTATTTGTGGACTGCAGCTGACTATGCAGCGATACTGCTCCTGCCCCTGTCATTTGCGTTAGGGCCTCAAGCACTACGAATCGTTAGACAATCACTGCGTCAGTTCAAGTTCGTCCTGCGTGTCTGTATGCCTTTTCTCCGTAAATACTACTGGCCCTATGCCAGCTGTAATCACCCAATCCGCGCGGCGCAGGACGAGTCAGGAAGGCGTCCTAGTCTTCTCGGCTGACAGTGTTGCACAGCGCGGACAGCACGCTGATGATCAAGGTGACGTTGTGGTCACCTGTCATTAGAGATGGTTTCATTAGCTCGAGACTATAACGCGGAACGTCATGGGCATGGCGAAGGGCATTCTGAGAGCTAAGGATCGACGACAGCATTTCTGGGATCTCGCTGGGCATTTGCGTCCAAGAGATATAAAGCGCAACGACGCCACAAACAGAGGTTCAGCCATTGCTTTCTAGTCTTACTCCCGCTTTGTGACGGAGCACTACAAGTCGGTGAGCAGAGCGTCCGATGTGCCTATCTCACGAATACATTGTATGCACAAGCCCAGCGCAAATTAAGCCAGCACCTATCCAGGCCTTAGATGACAATGCATACGCCCGCAACGTATATTCATTCTTTTAATCCCCGGCGTCCAACATTTCCTGCTCCGTGAGGCGGACAGTACAATTGAGCGAAGGCTGTCCTATCATTGATACAGACACATTTCGTACGTCCTAGCTGCCTGATGGTGACATTTGACCGTCGATGGATGCGAGGGCTCGTATGATTCAGAGACGTTGTCCAGCTACGCAGTTTCAAAAGCGCTATCTCCCAGCGCGTTTTTATGGTCCGATACCTAGCCACCTTGTTCTATGGGATAATTTCGGCAGGATATAGGCTTCAAGCACCATGCAGGAGCATCGTGTTAAGTCATGATGTCGGCCAGACAGCGCACACCTGAGCCCGGGCGCGGCAAAATCCGTCAGATATATGCCGGCACAATGAAGCAGTGGACAATTCTCGCGCGCCTCCCGTTGACCACCCCATCATTCCTGCGGGTAATTGCCAACTTCCGATACAATTGTCCCAGTAAAGTTCCCTTGTTCTCACTGACTCCCGGAACGACATGAGAAAGGGACAGAATGCAGGGAGCGTCTCTACTTCAAAACAAGATTCCGGTATGCACAAGAAACGCAAGACTAAGCGGAAGCCCGTGACAATTGTGTAAGTATTTTCACCGCCATCTTACTCACATCGGTGCATCGCTTATTTATGCTGTAGGGTTATGGGTCCTACTGGCTCGGGCAAGACGTCGGTGAGGTCGACAGTACACAAACTGCAAGATACTTACTGAGACGGCCCAGTTCATCAACACTGCTAGCGGCTCAGAACTACGTGTTGGGTTGGGCTTGGAGTCATCCACAGAAAACATTCAAAAGTCCAACACGTTCCCGCTAGATGAATACGATGTCACATTGGTCGACACACCTGGATTCGACGACACCAATATAAGCGACGTTGACATTCTCGCTCTAATTGCGAAATATCTTGCTGACGAGTAGGTTCAGAATACCACGAGCCGCGGCTACAGCGCTGACATGTGTACTCCCAGGTTTGAGAACAGGCGACAAATCAGCGGCGTCATATACCTACATCGCATCACCGACAACAGGATGGGTGGTACGGCGTTACGGAACTTCCGCATGTTTAAGGAGCTCTGCGGGGGGCCGGCATTGGCCAACACAGCTATCGTCCTGAACATGTGGAACGAGGTTAATGAAGGTATCCGCAGCGCCCGCAAGAACGAGCTCGTCTCCAAGGACAACTTCTTCAAGCCTGCAGTGACGGCAGGCGCGAAGGTCCTCACTCACGACAATACGGTGGATTCCGCGTATGCTGTATTGCGCCACCTGGCAACGCGGCGACCGAGACCGCTCTTGATCCAGACGGAGCTCGTCTCACGGAAAAAGCAGCTCTGTGAGACGTCTGCGGGAGCTGCGCTGCTTGGGGACCTTGTCAAGAGGGAGCAGAGGCAGGCAGAGCAGTTGCGAGACATGCAGAAGGAGATTGAGGAGGCTATCCGGAAGAAAGACGAAGAGGACAGGCGAGAATTAGAGGAGGCACGCCGCAAGGTGGATGAAACACGGAGGCATCTTCTGAGTCAGCAACAACGAATGAAGCCTGTGAAGCCTGTCGGAGTCAGAGCGCAGCGTAATCGTCGCCGGAGGTTATTTCGCGGACTACTTTGCGTCACGTCTGACAATTTGGAGACGTAATGTCCACTCATCATGCTTGGTTACGAGCCCATCGCCATGCTCTATGCCAGTATGCCAAGCGCGTCATCTAGGTTCCATATGCAGCTACCACACATACTTCTCGTTGTCTGCATGCGCGGTTATATTTATTCGCGCAGTATTTATCATAGTAACTTGAACATATACGACGCTGTGTTGAAATAGTACTCACAAATTATAATGTATGCCATTGATACTAAGTCTTCGAGCTTCCGATATTCGGCTATCAGTTGATGCTTTATGAATCTACAAGTAGTACTTCGACGAGCATGCAGTATCACGATGATGGTATTACACTCCGAGTGTATCCGCGTTGCGGCATTGATGGCCCTGATTTAGAGCGTCTATGCCAGTAGGACATCCAAGATCCCAACAAGCGCTGATGAACTGCGTTCTCAACATGTCCTGTCACCGCTACCTGCGCAATCAAACATTGCAAAATTATTTCTTATGAAACCCAAACATTTCTTTGACGGAATGTCTTGAGTGATTGCGAATGCAACACCATCATAATGGAGTTCGGAGACATTCCGAAAGCTTGACATCTCGCGTGGAGCATGACTCGAACTTCCACGACTGACACTATACACTATACTTAACACATAAGGTGAGTGACAGCATCGCCGTCGCTAACAGAAATCCATGCTCGTGGTCAATAGAGTGTACAATTTTTTGTCACGGTTCAACGACGGTTGGCGGTCATAGATTCAAAACGGGAACACACCCATTGGTCACGCCGCACGCTGCGTCCGACCACCTGTGTATTAGCAGATATTTTGAAATGCCCAATCCCTCGCCTTACATTCCACACAAGGGCAACGTAGAGGCCAATCAGCCTGTCGGCATTACGCCATTACTCGTCCGGCCTCAGACATCCGCGCGCCGCGGCCACTACATAAGGCCCTGCCTCTCCAGCTCTCCCTCCAGTCCCCGACTACACAACACACTCGAATAACAATGTCTGTGAGTAATATGACATGCGCGTCTCCTTATGGCCTAGAACTCAAGCTGGCCTCGTGCACAGAACACTGTGAAGTGCGCCAACGTCCAGGCCAACGGCGGTTCCTGCACCTACCCCGCGTGCAACTGCGCGGAGCCACCCAAGAGCAAGTAAACTCGCGGGTCAGTCTCACACTCAGTGAGCACCTCTATCACTGGCTCGTATGCGAAAACTGACACAATGTCCCTTTAAGTCTGCTCCGAGCCTCTGAACAGCGAGCATGAGGCAGTTCCACTGTCTCTTTGACATGTGTGTCATTGTATAGCATATCGTTTGATGCCAGGGAAATGATTCTCTGAACTGCGTGTGACAAGTTTGTGTCCCGTCTACTCTGTGCGGCCTAATGAGAGGCGTCAGTGCGGCTCAAAATCGTGTCGATGCAACAGGCACTTCCTCAAATCCAAACGACATGTGTTACTTAGTTTACACGCTCCATTCGTGAGGCTCTATTCATATCTTCCCGGAATCCCTTCCTGATCCTTTGCGGACTTCTTCGTCAACCTGCCCGGAGGATTTCATGCTCATCGCGTCTCTTGTACGAAGATCGGCACGGTGGTTATGTGAGCAGGTGTCTATCGTCCGGTCTCTAGCAGCGTTGCATTCGAGAACTCAGGATCCTCAGGTTTACGCATTCCGCGTTGCGCTTCTAGACTGTCCAAGCGTCGGTCTACCGAGATAGTGAGAACCATTGCCACTAATGCACACGAGGGGGATGATCCTCGGCTATGATTCACATCACGAAACATCAGTGTCCTTCTCCCAGACAAGGGCCTGTACAGCAGGTCGCATAGCGTCTTCGAGGCTGGACAGGTATTGCCCTTTGACTGCTGACCATGGCTGCGCTCCCTTGTATGCTCTACAGCGCCCCAAGAGCTCCTCAGCTATGAGCCTGCGCAACATCAGGTGGCAGGGTTCCGCCGCCATGTGAAGGAGAGGTATGGCAAGGGGGCGTGTATTGTGGTAGTAGACGTTATTTCTAGCGGTGAAGTCGCGCTCGCCAGATTGGAACAAGAGCCGGCAGTAAACTTCGCCGGTAGGAGGAGAGCAATGGAGGGGGTTATATTAGTATAACCAGCCATTTGTCCCTGGTGAAAAGAGGTCATGCATATTGCATGACCGACACGGGTGTCGAAGTCGTAGGTGAGGAAGATCCGAAGCATGAAACCTTTATGGACATTGAGGCTTGGAACCCCCGGGTGACGCTTCCACAAACCTCGTATGCAGGTTTGTCACGGCGGACAAGGAGCTCGCGGACATAGAGGCAGATACCTGTCCCGAGTAGTTGCACAAGATCAGATGTGTTAGACGTTGATGTTGTGGACTAAACGTCCGAAGTTTGTTGGTAGAGTGGCATATCATTCTTCGTACGAGTAAGATCTACGAGCGAATGCTCTTCAACGCTCTACGGTCATCGGTGCATTTAGGTTCATCAAGCACCCCCAGAGTATATTAAACTCACATCAAAACTACCGCGGTAAAAGTTCGTCGTACCGGCAGCCGCCCGTCGCGTCTCTTTCGCCATGGTACGCGCGAGACCAGCTGTAGCCAATACAATGTGTGGTCTTAGCGTGGTCCAACTTGAGATTGAATAGCTGCAGAGCTTTACATTCGACTCGGGTCGAACTACTGACGGATACATTAACTGCAAGCAGCGAGAGATGTGTACCACACAAAGAATACTTACTTGATGTACCTCATGTCGCGACAGTCGATGAAGGCGACCAGGAGTCCGTTCTAGAGATGCTCCCTATCAAATCGGCGTCAGTGACCTGCATCGGTATACGATAACAATTTTGGGATTGAACGTCGATAACCTGGAAAGCGCGACACGATACATATAGATTTACACATCCACAATGGCACGCGAGGATAGTACACACAAACTACAGCAAGAGGTCCGTGATACGAACGGGATCGGGATGCGTGCGGTCAAAATGCATGGCAAGAGGAGAGGAGTAAAAAGGAGTCCAGAGATACAGGCAGAGCAAGATACACCGTATGCCATATGTCGCGGAACCGCCGCTCATCATCACGCCCACGCAGAGTCGATCCACCACCGCTGCTCCGCCCCGCGCACGCTCCACTCCGCGAGCCCGTTCACGGACGCGACGTACACACGGCAGCCCGACGGGTCGAAACACGTCCCTGCCAGGTCCTGGTCGACGTCCGCAGCAGCAGCGCCGGTCTCACTCCGCCGCGGCCGCCGTGCCAGACCAGTCCCCCTTTGCGACGTGCTGTACGGCCCTGAGCTCTCGCGGCGCATCAGCAGGCCTGGGCGCGATACGCGTAAGCGCTCGGAAGGTCGAGCACTGGGTTGTTGCGCCGGGGGCGCAGGGGACGATGCGCGCGATGGCGTATGGGACGACAGGCAGTCCGACTCGAGCTCGTCGACGTCCATCTCCTCGCCTGCGTCGTCCGCCGCTGGCCGCGCCTCGCCGTCGCCGCCGTCATGGTGGTCGTCGCGGTCCAGGCGTGCTCGCAGGCCGTGTCGCCCGAGCAGCCGCCGCACGTCATCCTCGATCCGGCGATCTCCAAGCGGGGGGATGACCACGAGCCCGTCCGCGTCGTCATCGGGGTTGACGTCGTCTGAACTGCGCAGGTGATGACCTAACCGTGGTCGCCTGCTGGACGACGTGGGTATCCTGAAGGTATCCTCGAGCGCGCCGCTGAAGAGGACAATCCGCGGTGGGGGTGGTGGGAGGGACTCTGCTGAAGGGCGAGATTGTGAGCGCGGTGATATCGAGCGCGGTCGGGGCGCCAGTGGCTGGCTTGATGTTGACTCGAAGTCCGGCACTCGTATGACCTCCTCCGTCTCGAATGTACGCGCGTCGACGATGTGCAGGAGGGACGTATGCTGCCGCGAGATCAGAGGTCAGTCAAGCGCACGGAGACAAAACGCTTCAACCGATCCTCACCTCGGTGAACGTCAGAATTTCCCGCCCAACACTTGCCGGGCTGAATTTGACACTCCGGGCGCCCCACCCGGGTGCCCTTGACCAGTCCCACGGATTGTCATATAGCCACCCCATTGGTCCGAGATTGCTGGTGCTGCTCCTCGAGGGCCTGCTCTTGTCGGTCTGGATCACCTTCAATGGCTTCGTACTCCGGACGTCCCAAACAGCGACGACGCCCTCTTGTGATGCCACGGCAAACTTGGAGCCGTCCGCAGAAAAGGCGCTGGAGAAAGATGCAGGTATTGATATTGTGGACGAGTGCGACATGGAACCGTAGGGGATGGACTGCATGTACGGTGCAAGCGACAGGGTGACCAACGGCGACACCGTGATGTGCGCTCCACCCGAGATCCGGTGCAGGTATATCTCGGAGGAGTCGCCCACACACAGAAGCGTCCGTCCGTCCGGCGAGATCGACGCTGCACAAGGGAGGGTCGTCAGCACAGCCCGCAGGATAACAGTTCGCGCATGTCCTGCACACCCACAGTGGTTGACCGGAACATCCAGCCGCAGCTGGCCCGCGTCGACGAGCCGCGACGCCGCGCGGTCCTCCCACTCGCGGCGCACGGCGATGTCGAAGAACTTGACCGTCTTGTCGTTGTTGCTCACGATGACCCGCGGCTCCGCGCTGCTCTGGTGCGCGCCCGTCAGGCTCAGCGACGTCAGCAGGACCGAGTTGTTGATCGAGCCGTGCTTGATCGTGTACTTGGACTCCCACAGCTTGCTGCCGAAGCCCTGCCGGGGCCTGGGGGCGGCGCCGTCCTGGCCGCACGTCTGGGAAGAGGGGGAGAATAGCGACAGGTAGAGCTCCGCCTCCTGGCCGCCGGCCGCCAGAAGCGTGTCTCCGCTGTCGGGTAGGGTGAGCGAGGAGAGCGAGTTCGGGATGAAGCCCAGCTCGGCCAGGGGTCGATGCGGCTGCACAGCGAGTCCGTCAGATGCTGCAAAACACACGGCACAGCCCCGAACGCGCACTCACCGCGCTCGATGCGTAGATGTCGTGTTCTATAATGGTGCCGTCATGGGGGTATGTGACGACGCCCTTCTCGTGCGGGCATATCAGGACGTCTCGTAGTTGTCTGCAGATAGCACGTTAGCATGTGGCGAGGATCAGCGTCGACCCGCAAGATACGGCAAATGCAAATAGTCGTGGTCCATGAAGCCCGTCCGCCATGATGGAAACCAACGCACAGGTGCATAGGCCCACCCTCAGGCAGAAGGCAGATCTCAGCGGACGGGTGTCCTGATACCGCGCCGCCGCCGAGCCTAACGCCGCAGACGCTCTCGAGTCTCCATGGTGTACGCAGAACCCAAGAATGACAGAACTCACACATGTCCAATCGTCACCCGCGCAGGAGCGACCGCGCTGGGCGCGGGCGACTGCAGCAGCGGCGACGTACCGCGGGCCATCGTGGGCACTGCGTGGGGACCTTGAGCCTGAGCCTGAGCGACAGCGCCCCCTTGTCCTCGGACCAGGATTCAGAATAGGACCAGACCAGACCGGCCAGCACCGAACGTTCGCGCGACGAGATGGCGTCAGTTCCCAGGTTCGCCGGGAGGCGTGCGCATCCGCAGACCCGTGATGCAGAGAAAGGCAAGCTCGCAAGGGCCCCTTTTGGTTCCCGTGGGGGACCCTGTGACTTGAGCCGGAGGGAATGCGCAGGACTCGATGGGTGCGCTCAACGCCGAGGGCAGAGAACGGCCGCTGTCTCCCGCACGCGCGGTGCTGCGCAGGTTGTGGGTGTTTATATACGAGCGTCGACGCCGCGGAAGCTAAGCAGGAGGAGGCTGGGGAGTGGGGCACTGGGCAAGGGCGGCACCAATGTGATCGCCACCCTACTTGCTACCGGCACGCGCACGGTACGGTACATACAGCACCCGCCTCTTCACGTAAGGAAATATCGGCACCAAAAACACAGGCCGCATTCCGCCCAGTCCTGCCTCATGTTCATGATATATAAGCTAGCTGTCATTGCCGATGGGAGGAGTACACAATAAATAACGCGTCCAGTATCTACCAGAAATTCTAGGCTACAATCAAATGCAATGCGCGAAAACTACAAGGGGTAGGTAGTAGGGGGACACACTTCGTTAGATCAGGCACACCGCGGAAATCGTCACAGGGGAGGAGAGAGGGAGGGGGCGAGGGAGGGCAGGGAGGGGGAAAGCAAGCAAACTACTACTCGGAGGCGGAAAAAGCAAGGAGAGCGGAGACTCGGGCCGGGAGCGACGCACTGCAGACGTAGGCGGGGATAGAGTACACAACAGCATTCGCATCAGCGTCCAGGTAGGGTAGGCCATAGCACACACATGAGCGGCGGACGTGAATAGATAAGCAGACAAATGGCAAATGGTCGGGAGATCGTAACCGCAGTCGCAAGGCAGGTCAGTGTTTGTGGGCAGCAATCAACACAGCGGGTTCACCGAGTCCGCGCGGGCAGGCCGGGGGCGGGGTCGGGCTACATCATGAAGCCGCCCGCCGAGTTGGCCCATGACGGGCCGTCGGGGTCGGGCTTCATGTTCGGCGCAGGCGCGGGCATCGCCTCTGGCCCGCCCTCCTGGCCCGGCGCCGTGGTGACCTCGTCCTGGATCTTCCGGCACTCCGCGCCGCCCTCGGAGCGCACTGCAAAAGCAAACGCACCGCGTCAGTCAGTCTCAGCACGCGCGCGGCGCAACCGCAACGCTACTCACGGTGCCGGTTCAGCGCATCCATCCGCGCAAAGTTCTTCTTGCAGCCCTCGCACGGGTACGGGCGGATGTTCAGGTGCAGCTGCTCGTGCCGCTTGCAGTCGTGCTGGCGCGCAAAGCCCTTCCCGCAGCCCGGCCACTTGCACTGGAACGGCTTCTCCTCCGCGTGCGACCGCAGGTGCCCTGCACAGCGCGGAGTCAGCTACCGACACCGACGCCGGCGCGCATATCATAAAAGCCCACTCACCCTTCAGGTTGAAGTGCCGCGTGAACGTGCTCCCGCACCCCGGCACCGGGCACTGGAAGTTCGCGGGCTGCTTTCGCCGCTTCTGGCTCGCGTCCGCTGTGCTCGGCGTCGTCACGTTCACCTTCGCGACGTGCGGCGGCACGCTGCTCGTGTCCATGCTCATCGTGCCCATGCCGCCCATGCCCATGTCGACCTGCATCATCGTGCCCGACGGCGTGCGCCGCATCGCGGTCATGCTCATCGACAGGCCCACGTCCGGCAGCGCGCCGTAGCCCGGGCGCGGGCTCGCGGACGGCGACGGGTACGGGCTCGCGCGCGCGCTGCTCGCGCCGCTGCTCCACCCCGTGACGCCGCCGATCCCGGGGCGCTCGCGCGAGCCGGACGACGCGCGGCGGTGGTGGCCCTGCCGGATGGACGCGACGGTCTCTGTCGGGTGGAGGTACTGGCGGTTGGTCACGGCGGCGCGGATGAACTCCTGCTGCGCGAGCGACGGCGGGGGGACGAGCATGCCGGGGGCGTTGTACGGCGAGGAGGGCGTGCTGTAGCGGATGTCTTCCGAGCGCACCTGGCGATGGCCGCGGGTGTCTGACTTGACGCGGCGCAGGCTGGTAGCGGCGATGTCGGGGGTGAGGAAGTCCGCGGAGCGGTACTGGGAGAGGGTCTGCTGGAGGGCCGGGCCGAAGATGGTCTGCTGGGGGCCGGCGGAGGTGGGATGACGCAAGTGGGACGGGTGGAGGGAGGACTGTGGGGGCTGGAAGGAAATATGGGAGGACGGGCCCGGGAGGACATCATTCATGTTCACAGTGCCGGCGGAGGCAGGTCGCCGCCCAGCGTGAGAGCCATCAGCGCCCAGCGTCGCCCCTTGATGATGGACCATCATCGGTGCCGTGTCCCAAACGGGCGGACGTAGCGACGTGTCAGAGAGGCTTCTTGACCGTTGTGGCGCTTGCGCCAGCAGGAATCCCTGGCACGCGTCATCGGCCGTTTCACCCCCGTAGGCCATCCCCGGGTGGCCTGGCGGTGTGATCCGGGTCAGCAATGCAAGTCATCGGGCAATCGCGTGCGACACCCACCTGCGTGGTGTCCTCCGTTTGACAGATGTTGCGCCTGCGACGGCTGATCCCATCCCGCCCCGTCAGATGGTTGCACCCCGTCTGCCAATGCCCTCCAGTTAGCCATTATGTCCATTTGGACACACAACAGAGCACCTCACCGGATGCGGGGTTCTGGAACAGCACAGGCGGCGCCCGCTCCCCGCCCCCGCTCACCGGCGTCGCGGGGACAATGTGCAGTTGCGGGCCCATCGACATCCCGTCGCCCGCGGGGGCGTTGATCGTGGGCGGCGACTGGACATCCGTGTGCGGAGGAGACGGGCTCGACGGAATCACCAGCTGCGGCGGCGACTGGGGCTTCTGCACCGGCGGAGACGTCCTGTCGGCGCCCGGCAGGTGCGCATGCGCCCACGCAGGCGACTCAAAGTGCAGGTTCTCAAAGTTCTGCGCAAAGTCCAGGCGCGGCGACGCATCGTGGACATACGACGACGCCGTGGACGCGCCGCTGCGCGCGTCGTCCTCGCCGCCGTTGCTCGAGCCCGGCGAGCTGTGGTCGAACACGGCCGGCGACGCAGACGCGGACGCGGACTTTTGGTCGTACATCGGCGGGGTGATCGACACGTGCGGGAAGTTCTCGGGCGAGATGAACGAGTCGTCGAAGAGCAGGCCCGATGTGGACGGCACGTCGTACTCGGAGGGGTCGTACTCTTCGGTGATGGAGATGCCCGCGCCGGTCTCGAAGAGGCCGAGCGTGTGCTCGTCGTCGAACGGCGGGAGGTCGGAGATGTTGGAGTAGGGCGAGTTCTGGTACGAGCCGTTGTACGAGGGCGTGTGGGGAAAGTGCGCGTCCTGGTGCGCAAACTCGAACGAGTCGTACGGCGAGCCGATGCTGGGCGAGCGGTCAAAGTGGCCGCCCTCAAAGTCGTTATTGTGTCGCGGGGACTGGAAGTCGGCGGGCGCGAGGAGGGTATCCATGGCGAAGAAAGGGCAGCGGCTTTGTATGCCGGGGCAGGCTTTGTGGGAGCAGGCGGTGATGCAGTGTTTGTGTTATGCTGAGCGGGGGCGGTGCTGCTGGCAGGAGATTATCCAAGGTCTTCGCAGGGGGCGGTGCGAGCGAGGGAGAGCAGACGTACGAAGAAGACCCGCGGCCGGGAGAGAGCTCGCGTAGCCTCCGTCGCGATAGCTTTTGACTGGCGTCCCCTCCCCCGGCCACTTCGCACTCCGCTGATCCCTCTCCGGTTTCATCTCCCATCACAAATCTTCAGCTCCAAACCCTCCTCGACATCCCCCTCCGTTTCCTCCAGCTCTTTCTTTGCCTGCACACGGTGCTTCCGCGTATGCTGGATATCGAGCCCGCGGACATCGTCATTCATTCCGTGCCATGCTATGCTGCACCGCCAGTGTCTAGGGTTAGCCGGGGCTGTGCCTGACACGTGCGCCCGCCGTAGCCCGAGACTGCTACGCGCCCGCCGGGCGCCCATCCGTGTGCTGCTCGGAGTCCGGAGGGTGTGCCGGTCGGTCCCCGTCGGCACCCAAACGCTATTGTCCGCGCCTGACTCCCCTCTCGCACCTTCCCTTCCCGCAACAAGGTTTCTTCTTTGCGCACCACACAGCGGCCCTGTGTGTCCTCCGTCCACCCCCGGAGCCATCCCTGAGGCCTGATCCCCTCTGTCCGCACGTACAGTGCACACCCGAACCCGAACCCGAACCTGTAGCCGCCCCGTCCACCCCGCATCGATACGATACGATACGCCCTGCACGCAACTCCTCGCGCCACCCAGATGCAGCTGATCATCATGTCCATGTTCACTTGCCACGATGCCGACCGCGGTCGCATCAATCTCAATCCAACATCTAATTAAGCAACGCCTGAGGCCTGATGCAGGGATTCAGAGCCCTCGCGACGCTCCATGATCATCTGCATCCCGCGTCGCGCTCCGACTCCGCGCGCAAGCCCTCCGGCGCGCGCGTCACCACGGCGACGATCGGTCGGTCGGTCGGTCTACTAACAACCCAATCGACATCCAAGTCCAGGTGGTCCCGCGACGGTGCATGATGTATGTGCACACCCACAACGCACACAGCCTGTTCCTGTCCCCCCGATCGGGCGTGGCGTGGCGGTGCCCTGCTGCGCCCGGGGACCGAGAAATGCATTTCTGTTTCTGGACTCGACGAGGGATTTGCGCCTGCGCACAGCCCGCCCAGCGAGACGATATCCAGCGCGCAGCGGGTCGCGCCGGCGAACGCAGACGGGCGCGCGCGCGCGTCACAGCATCGCGACCCACTACTTACTGCAGGGCGATTAATGCACTACTTGCTGCAGGGCAGTTGACATCACTATTAATATTGACTGTGATCGTGCCCGCGGGCCCCGCCCAAATGGCCCGCTGTCCGATCACACCCCATCGGCTCGATCGTCGCCAGGGCCAGGTTGGCCGTCTCCCGATCGTTGCGCACAGCCCGCTGTGGACCGACCCGCCGGTCATCGCCCGTATGCAGGTCACACTGGCACCCACAACCCATCACAGGCATCCATCACAGGCATCAAGCCCGACACACGGCGACCGCAGGCACGCAGCTTGCAACTCGCATTTCCTGACGCTGCACTCTGAATCCGTAAGAGAGAACTGTGTTCGCCTCCCAGCGGCGTGTGCTTGTCATGGCAATATCTTCGTGATGATGATCCTTGTTCCCGTCCTTCGCATCGCAGGGATGCCTATCGCTGATTGTCGCATCGTTTCGGCGTGCAATGCATCATCATCTCAGTGGCGGCCCCAGGCTCACGTCCGTCGTCCTTCTTGTTCGAGGTGATGCCGCCGGCCGCGCGTCTGCGTCTGCGCGTGCATCAGGATTCAGCCCGGCAGTCGCGCCTCGGGGTCGCCCATGGCCAGCTGCCCGCAGCGCGTGCATGTCGCGAAAAAGAAAACACCACCGCCGGCGCCTGCCGCAAGTTTGGTTTGCGTACCGTTCGAAGGTGGCGGCCCCAGTGATCCATATGTCCGTGCGGCGACCCGTAGTATGTCCGCGCAACGGCGTCTCGCCGGCGATTGCCCCCCACCCTGCTCTGCGCGCCCACAGACTAACAGACTAGAAGCCGCGGTTGTGCCTATTGCCCGAGGCCCCGGCTTCTTTGCCCACCGTGTGCGTGCAGTACGACCGTGTGCAGATCGTCGGCGCGGGTGGTCGTCCCGGGCCCGTCTTCTCCGTCCGGAAGACAGAAGACAGAAGATCGCGCCGCGCTCGTCAAAAGCACGGTTCTTGCCCTGGCCGGCCGACCGACCGACTTTCAGACTCGGACATGGGTTCCCGCCGCCAGCCGCTTGCGATGGCGGCGTCTCCCGGTCCGTCATGTGCGCCGACCGTGGGGCATGGGTTTCTCACCACTTGCTTCGAGCCTTCGAAGTTCGACCTCAGCCGAGCCGAACAAGGAACCCCGCGCACGAAGCCTGCACACCTGTTGATCATGATCAATGTCTCCTGTCTCCTCGATCCCGGGCACGCGCGTCGCAGGCCCTGACAGCGACAGACAGCACACCGCATGCCGGGACGTGTTGATGTTGGGATGATGTCGATGGGATGGCGGACAGCGTGATACGGCTCGTGCGGCTGGCAGGCCATGCCACGGCGCGGTGTTTCAGCTCGAGTTACCGATCTCAACCTTGTTCGACGATCTGGGGCCCAGCAGCCGTGGGGACGTGATGGGACACAATGCAGGACGGCTATAGCGTGAACGCCGCTCCAAGCTCTGTTTTTTTCTTCTCGCGTGGGTTTAGCGTGATGTTGACCCCCGAGCGGGACGAAAAAAAGAAGCCGCCAGACCTGCGGGGCTCCCACCCCGCGCTCGCAGCCTCATACAATATCTTTAGTTCTGTCACCCATGCAATGCGCGATGACTTCGCTACTGGGCTTTTGGCAGGCTTCCCTGTTCCTACGACCGACTTGGAAGGAGTAGCGATATCCAAGACGCAGAGTGCGGCCTTGAGTTCCCGCTGCGAACACCGGGGGACAATTTGAAGGACGCTCGTCTCCCAATAATAGCCTGAGCGCGTTCGACGGCCCATTCCGCGGAATGTGCCACGTCGACGCCGTCTGCGCGCTCCTGCAGACAACAAGGAGTTGCCTTGTGCGGCGCGATCGGCCCCTCAGTGCGGTTTGTTGTGCGGTCTGCCGCGGCACCCTCGTCCATGACAGACAAGATGCGTGCTGTGATGTCGTCAGTCGCGTGTCCACTTTGATCACTTTGATGCTCGCCGCTCGCTGGACTGACGTGATCGCGGTCTGTGAGTGATTGAGTGATCGAGTCGAGTCGACGCTGGAGCCACGGTTTGTCGTCCTTGGGACAACGCGACAACACTGGAGCCACGGGTTGTCGCCCTTGAGACAACGCGACAACGCTGCGGGTGGCGCATCAACGGCTGAGGCGTCTCCGACTCGGATGGAGCACCCCGCATCGAAGGAAAGCTGGCCTTGCGCGCCGGCCAGGCCTCGAAACTGTGATGTCTCCCAAGGCCTGATGGGTGTCCTCCGCCGTGCAACTGCAGATGCCATGGACTCCCATCCGGACTCCGTGTGGCCGTGATGCGGAGGATCCCGGCCTCGGTTTATCATGACCCCCTCCCTCATAATCACCGCGATGAAAGATGTGCACTCCTCCGCGGCAGCTACCAGGCTTACCGGAGGGAGAGACTGGGGAGACCTAGGCAATGTTGTGTGGCAGCCGCGGGATGTCATAAATGGGTCCGATTTACGTACTAATGCTGACCGCATTGGGGTTCCTGCATTCTACTGGTGACTGGTGTGATCAGGGCTCGGGTGCTGTAGTGGTACTAATGATCTGGAGGGCGTTTCAGACCCTGCGACGTGCAACAGGTGGCGACGGACTCAAGGTTAGAAACGGCGCTACGGAGCGTGGTTTGATTTTGGACGATACTTATCGGATGAGGCTTGGGCTCTTTGACTTGAGCGCCCTATCCGAGGTGTCCAACAGGCATCTTCAAGAATGATCCTCACCGCCCTGATGGAGCCTTGTTCTTTGAAGGAGGGCATACGAACTATGACATTCCGGGCTTGAAGGCTCAAGGAGTCGCGTTGCAGGAGAAGAGCGTGCCCCCATTTTGTCAGTCACGCGTTACCTGAAATGGCGCATTGACTCTTACTATCGGCCAGTAGCATGAGTCCCTGTTTGCATTGAATTATGCACATGATAGTCATGGCAGTGCTATGAACATGTTTGTTGTACGCGCTGTGATAGTCGTTAAAGTGTGAAAGTGTGGCTATATGATAGGGCCTGGGCGAATCCGTCCAGCGCTCCGATCAGCGCCCTCAACAGGTTCACGAGCTTCTGGGGCACACTGGCGTGCATACGGATCTGAACATCAGCGCGATCAACTGGGATGCAAACTGTGAGCCAACTGAAGGGCTTACAATGATTTGTCCTCGTCTGCATCTAGGTTCAGGTTAGGCAATCTAGAGCAGGCAGCGGGTATCCCAGCGCCTGGTCGTTTGTCGCACTTCACGACGCGCACTCGAGACAAGAGCTGTGTATTGTGGGCGCACAGCGCCTTCCCGTCGACGTCACAGTCCGGGAGGTGTTCGATGACCATATCATATGGGCCCAATTCGTCGAGGAGAGCTTTGAATTGGGCGAGAGCACCCTTGGCTGCGGCCTCAAATTCGACGAAGACATGGATGGCTTTGAGCTCTGGACAGTTAATCGCTCCTTGTTGGTCGCGCTCCCGCCGAAGTACTTGGAGAACATCCCTCAGCTGAGTGCTTGTCACGTGGATAGAAGTAAGACCAGGCAGCTCCGTGAGGAGAGTCCTGAGGTCCTGCACGAAAAGCACCGACGCTGAAAACCATAGCTCCTTGATCGTGGCCATCGGCACCATCGCTGACAATTCCGATGTCCAGCTCAAGTGACACTCCGTAAAACTCAGTCGATCCTTGAAGAACGAGATCCCGGAGTCAGTGCCTGCGACCAATGCATGACAGTGCGATACGAGAACTATACGATAAAAGTGTGGACTTCCGAGCATTCGCGCGCAATCGATCTTCTCAGAGCCACGCTCCCAGTCGTGAAATTGCACCGCAGCGGTGGGGCTAATGTCGAGTCGTGGAACAATGGCGGCGAAGTGGTCCCAAGAGACGCGGGAAAGCACGAGCGCGCGCAAGTGTGGCAAGGAGACGACACTTATGCTATCAAGATCCCCAAGATCCCCAAGATCCCCATCTTCGGGGCACTGAAGTACCATATCCTGCAGTACAGGGCATCTTTGGAGCCAGAGAAGGACACTGGACATATCCCCCGAGTAGGACCTGAGGTGAAGACGTGTCAAGTTCTTGAAGACTCCAGAAGGAACCCAAGTGCACGCTTCCAGCTGAAGTATGCGGAGACATGGTGAGTAACGAGCGAGCTCTGAAAGATCCGTTTGCGAATTTTCACCGGTCAGGCTGCCAAAATCGTCCCACTCCAAAGTCTCCAATATACCCAAATGGACGAGGAGTTCTTGATGGTTCCCTCTAAATGAATTCCATTTGAGTGATCGGATGCGATTCGATTTGAAGACTAGCTCTGTGTGGTGGCTGAGGGACCCAGCCACATGCAGAGTGATGGGAAGACGACCAGAGCGCTCGAGGGGAAGGTGCCACAATTGTAGAGCTTCCGAGTCGGGCTTGCCTGTCGCGTCGAATGCTGTCCAGAGAGACGGAGTGCGCTGCGCAACGTCACGCCAATGTCGACAGATCAACTGCAGGTGCGTAGCCTTCTGAAGACGCAGCCCCATGTGCTGCCACCACGACTCACTACCTTCCAAGGTACCTGGTGGAGGCGCAACGTGGCTCTCGAAGATGAGACTGAGTAGCTCGACCGGGAGAGCATTGATAGGAGATTGGGCATTCATTCTGGTCCGGATAGGCAGTACAAATGACATCAGCAAGTCATGAGATTCTTGGAGCTATATCATTGCGATGAACAAGCATGAGTGTGTATGAAAACGCAAACCACATACCATGTCAGCGCTGTCCCCGCCATGCTGAGCATCTTCCATCCGAAGAATCAAGAGAGATATAGCGTCCCTCAAAGACGGCACCTTCTCTTTCGGCATCGCTGTGGTAGACGCGTTGAGTTGCAGCGATGCGAGAGGTGGCGCCATGCTAGTCAAGTCACGGCTCAGAACTTTGAAGTCCAGTTTCCAGTCGTTTCTTGCCGAATATCGAGTAATGCAACAGGTTTAGGGTAAGTAAGATGGGCCTGGAGGAGAAGTGGACAGAGAGAAGCAGCAACTTGAACGTGTGGCCGCTCAGAGAATGAAGGAACCATTGGCGCGCGCACGCCAACTGGAACTCTTCTCTCCGGCTAATGATCCGAGATCCTGCGTTGTATGTAAGATGGAATCGCACTGCGTCGTGATTGGTGGATATTCGATGAAGCCTGAGCGACTCTAAAATAATATCTGATTTCATCTACCTCTTCGACTCTAAAGTGCAACGCGAACTCACTGCATCGGTGATCTGCTGTCCGTTATGGCGCAAGGATCAACCGGCGAGACAACATAGAGATAAATACGCTACCGTATGAAGGGAAACGACAACGGCCGTTAAACACCTGAGCATCATGCACAGTATGCATAGACTGAACCGGGTGCCCGGGCGTGAGTATCAGTATGGAAAGGGACGCGGTGCGAGCTGTAATTGGACCTTGGAAGTAAATGCCGAAGTGGCCTACTTACGTCGTAGTACCACCGTGAGGAGTGGCATGCGACACGAAGTCACTGTAATCTGCCACCACCAAGCTCAGCTCAACCCAGCCCCCAGTAAGTTCACGTTGAGGTGTTTGAGTATGCTAGCAGTAGATATACTTACTCTGCACGGGAGAATCATTCTGTTGGCGTAGATCAGTGAACCAAGCTGCAGCGGGACGCAAACGGCTCATCTTGCAGAGCTCAACAGGAGCGGCAAGTATCACTGCTGATGGTTCGTCTGCTTCGAAAATACGGTCAAGGCAAGGTGGTGTTTAGCACTTTGCAGCTTGAGGACGGGCTTATAGCGATCATGATCTGGCACAACTCTGTATTTCTTCGCAATTGTTAACTTTTTATTTTTCCCTGCGTTCTTGAGTGTAAACTGGTCACTGCGTGCTGGCTCCAGAAAAGGTGCCTGCGGCGGACCGGAGCTCTGCAGGAGGGGATTCGTCTAGGTCCTACACCGCTGCTCGTCGTGTCGTCATCGCTTCTAGCAAAAGCACGCGCGCGGGACCACAGACTATCTACGCCCGCGCACCACGCAGCCCCTCCTCACAACTCCAGGATCGCAGAGACGTCGCCCAGCACGAGGTCCTTCAAGTTCCCAAAGTTCGGCGTTCCGAAGCCCGTCACCGGGTCCCACCCGACCGTCGCCTGCATTGAACAGAACGCGTCGTCAGCTCAGCACACTCGCACCCTCGCGTCGCCTTTGCGGCAGACAGCAGCAGCAGCAACAGCAGCAGTAATAGAACACGGCCACTCACGTTGAAGCCCTCCGTGCCGCAGCCCGGGTTGCTCCCGCCCACGATGTCGTTGAAGCCGTCCGGGAAGACCGCGCCGATCGCGTACAGCAGCGGGTTCAGGAACCCGAGCGGCGCGAGCCCCCGCGCGAGGCGCGCGTCGTTGAGCAGCGACACGAGCCCCGCGAACGTCGGCGACGCGGCGGACGTGCCGCCGATCTTGCGCTCCACGCCGCTAACGAAGAGGTTGAAGAACTGGCCCTGCGCGGCGACGTCGGGGTACGCCTGGCGGGGCCATGTCAGTGTGTCAGTGGGAGCCCGTCTAGGGGACTGCGTGGGCTTGGGTACGTACTCGGCCTGACGGGTTGTAGAGGCCCGCGTAGGTGCCGGGCACGAGCTTGCTGAGGTAGGTGTCCACCGCGAGCGCCTGGTAGGCGGGGCGCGAGAACTGTGTATCCCGCACACGGTGAGCGACGTCTAACGCGCTAGTCAGGGACAGGGTCTCATGGTGCTCACGTAGTTGCTGAATCCGCCGCCCGAGATGTAGTACACTTCCTCGGGGATGTACCACGTCGCGCCGACCGAGGTCACGCTGTGGGTCGTACGCCACTTGATGAGACGGCTGCCACGCCTCGGGGGACGGTCTGACTCACTAGGGACAGCTGGCAGGGAAAAGGGGTATGAACTTGGTCTCGTTCAGGCCGTTGTTGGTGTAGCACTGCTGCGTAGCCGGGTCGGAATCGCCGTCGCCGACACCGTGGTCGCCAGAGGCGAAGGACAGCGAGACGCCTCGGGCTCCTGCGTGGTGAGACGGTGAGCAACGGCCGCTAGCTGACTGAAGGGAGCACCACACCGAGCTGGGCGAAGCTAGCGCAGACACGCTTAGCATAGCTTTCGGGAACTGTTTGCTCGTCGTCACCGTAGCTGGTGGAGATCGTCTGCGGCGGGCTGGGGTCGTTCAGAATATACTCCAACCACTGACATAGACATCATCGTGAATATCTGCTGCCCTGTCGATGATGCTCCAAACTCACATTTGCATACGGCTCATTCGAATTAGTGGGATTAAGGTCGTCGGGAATGAAGGGCGGACTCCCTCCGGTAGTGTAGAACGTCCTCGGAGTGGGGTACGTCAAGCCAAATGCGTACTGGGTGTCTGTACAGCCACCATCAGTCATGGGGGTGTTTTGGGTTCCAACTTGACATACCAAGGTTCGCCTCGATTCCCGCCGCATCAGGCGACTGGTCGTTTGTCCCATCTTGCGGGGAACAGATCGCCGTCAGCTTCCATCACATCAATCGACCCGGACGATCCACAAAACTCAAACTCAAACTCACTGTTGATATACACAACGTCGAACGTCGAGTCCGCCGCCTCGGGCACGAACGCCTCGTTGAACAAATGAAAGTCCTCCAGGTTCGCGTACTGGCCGAGATAGCCCGTCACCGCGAGCTTGTTTTCGCCCGCGGCCGCCGGCACGTACCCAACCGCGTTGTAGAGCTCCTTCAGGCACGTGGGCGTGATCGACGCGTTGCAGCTCGCGTTCACCTGCCCGTTGTACGCGGAGGGTATCGAGATGTACGGCGCGTCGGTCTTTATGGCAGCGGGCGCGTCGCCGGCGAAGTGGTACGTCGCGGCGTCGCGCCTGAAGCGCGCGAAGGACGTCGTGGGCTGCACGACGTCGACGTGCGCGTGGAGGTGCTCGGGGAGGCTGTAGGAGGTTGTGCGCACGAGGGCGGCGCCGCTTGCATCGTGGACCCAGACGTGATATTCCTTGGTTACATGATGAGTCCACAAACGGGCATCTGTTGACAGAAAGAGACCTACCGTCTTCATCATTTCCTCGGCCATAGAGACCGGAATTCGGATGGTAACCCAATCCTGAGCCGGCGAACGGGACAGCGCGTCCGATGGAATACCATGAGAGGCAAGCCATTCGTCGACGAGCTG